AAAAAAAATTATTATAGTAAAAATTTATTTTTCGAATATGAAGCCTGAGTTTGAAAGAAGTTGAAGAATTTTACCACACTCCCAATTAAAGACTCTTTGGCGGAAGATAAAGATCGGAAACTGGGACACGGTGGTATTTATCAAAGTTAAAGAGAAAGAGAGAGAAAGAGAGAGGGAGAAAGAGCGAAAAAAATGACGCGAGCCAAGAGAAGCTTAAAAGCTTGTCCCTCGGGTGCGTCTTCACCCTTTTACCTTTTAGCAGCCCCTCTTTTCAAGAGCGTCTTAAAAGACAACGTTAAAAACGTTTCCTGCTGGCAAAATAACTCGGAAGGGGAGCCGATCTTTGCTCTCGCGGACCTTTTCCAATTTCAATTTTCCAGCCCGCTGCACGTAGCCGCCCTCAGACCTCTGCACACGTCGCTGGTTAATTAAATGGATGCTCGCCTGCGTTCTCGATTTTTTTTTTTTTTTTTTTATACTTGACAAAGTCACTTTGACGCTAGCCGACGTATCGGCGACGGGAAAAGTAATTGACAGAGAAAGGCGCCCCTCGAAATCGTGTACACAACGCTATCGATTACCAACTAGCCCTCGTTTTTGGACGTAACCAGCCCCTTGCCCGTGGTCACGACCGATGTTTGTCTTGGCGGAAGGTGAAACTTCCGGTCGAGACCCTCGAGACCACCCTCGACCCTGACTGTCCCCACGATCGATTTCAATGACACCCTTTTACTTACGTCTCCTCCTACAAACCCACGACTACCGATTTTCTTTTTTAAACTTTTTTTTATAAACCAACGAAAAACATTATCATCAGAAAATAATGTGGGATAGAGGGCGTTCATCTAATTTATCATTCATATCATTACCAATTAACAAATTGTTCATGTTAGTCTCCTAGACAAAATGTTGTTTATTATAAAAAAGAGAATCGTTGTCGTGAAACGTTGAGAGTCGTCAAATGTCGAGTCCAGTAACGAACTGTACTGCGGTGAGTCAAGTCGTAATCGTGTCGTTAGCGTTGTAATCGTGTCGTTAGCGTTGAAATGTAATATCGCGTCGGAATATGTTTAAAGTGTAAGAATACGTATTATTATTGAAACATTACAATAC